TGGAACCCATTGTCTCAGTCCCTACCAAGCGCCATGAAGTTTTCATGTCTCTCGTCAAGAAGTAGGGTGTAGGACTCAATAAACCCTAAACCCTAAACCTTGGGTACTGCCCCCCCCTCACTAACAGTTGGATAATAGTTATAATATGGTTATATATAGCCCTTAATAGGACCCCTAATATAGACTGTTACTGGGTGGGGGCAGTACCCAATGGATAGGATTCTTGGAGGCCCTGGAGGAAGCAAAGATGGAGACGACTCAGATCCGACAGGAGCTTGAAATCTCCCAAGGCTGGAAGAGCTGTGGGGTTCACGGTTAAGGGCCTAGGTAACCACAGGGTAGAATTATGACCTAGGTATAGTCATATGATAGTTGTAGCATCCTTAATTGTTTGGTGTTTTGGTTATCAATTTTTTGAGCACCGCTCCAGGGCTCAGAACTGCTGCTGGCCATGTCGTGATGGGACGGATTGAGCTATGCGGACTGCTTGGCCAGCAGGTAAGGCATGCTTGCAGCCCGAAATGATAGCTTCCGAAACGGAAGGGGGAGTTTCCTGAAATTATGGGTGCCTTTTTGAAGGTCCCTGTAATTAGGATTATAGTTTCTGGGTCTATATTGGGTTCCCCCCATTTTTGGAAAGCACCAAGTAGTAGCTTCCACTATGGAAGTTTCCTGCCCTTAACTGTAAGGCCGAAGACCCTAACCCTCGTCGCTTAACCCCAAACTCTGATCCCTAAACCCTAACCCGCCTACAACCTCTAAACCCTAAACCCTATCCCCCAAAACCCTTCAGCCCCAAAATCCGTTAAACCTCCTAAATCCTAAACCCTAAACCTTAAACCCTAAACCCTCTCCAAGGAACTCATACTGAGGAGAAATTGTCCGATAAACAAAAACCCTAAACCCTAATCCCTAAACCCTAAACCCTTAAACCTGAAACCCTAATCCCTAAACCCTAAACCTCCAAACCCACATTCGTAGACTTTGCTGCAGGCCTTGCCTCACAGGCATCCTCCGAGGTGGCCTCTTTGAAGGAGAGTCTGGCGGAAGTCCAGGCCTTGAAGAGGAATAGAGTTTATGGATTAGGGTTTAAGGGTTTAGGGATT